TCCTCCTCCTCCTCCTCCTCCTCCTCCTCCTCCTCCTCCTCCTCCTCCTCTCCACAGACCCTATTCCTTTCTAGCACTGATAATGTTACCTAGTTGGGTCATGAAACATCTGCAAGAAAACAATCAAGCTCAGAGAGCACCAAGGACCCCACAGTCCTCCTCCTCCTCCTCCTCCTCCTCCTCTTCCTCCTCCTCTCTGCAAACCCAACTCCCTTTTAGCACTGATGATGTTACCTAGTTGGGTCATGAAACGTCTGCAAGAAAACCACCCAGCTCTGAGAGCACCAAGGACCCCACAGTTCACCCCTAAGCTACAAAGATTCTCCTTCACTAGTAAAATAGAAGTGCCTGTCTTGCCGTTCACCCCGCTATGACCCTTTAATCGCCTCCCATTCTGCTTTGACGCCCTTGTGTTGTCTCTTCCCACTGCATTCCTTGACTCTAGGTGCAAACGGTTTGACGTGCCCATCGAGAAGATTTACAACAAAACTCAGCGGGCGAAGTTTGCGTGGGCCATCGCCATGGCCGACGAAGATTTTGTATTCTAAAGGGACCTAGGCGACTCCCAGCTTGCTGTGGGTCGCTCGTCGGCATGCGTTGTTTGTGCCTTTGCTAGCCCGGAGGGCCATTTTGCACACAAAATACATCTAAAGGAGAATGGGGGAGCCCGTTGTGTCTTCTTTCGTACGAAAGGGGAGACCTCCCCGTTGTATTTATTGATGAGTAGTGTTGGTCCTCCTCCAGCCTGGACTGTGAGGACGCTGGAAGGCTCACAAGAACAGATCTGGAACAGGATCGGGCAGCCTTCTCCTGGCCTTCTAGATTTCTCGGGGATGCTCGTGGTATGAGGAGCCCCAACTGTCTTGAATTGAACCCTTCAGCTTCTTTCCCAAAGACTCTTAGGAACACGTTGTTGTAAAACTCGATTTCTTGAGTTCTTGTTCACTGCTGTTCAGCGAAGGCCAGTTCTTTTTCTTGACGCCCTTGAGATGTGGTGGACCACCAACACAAGAGACAGTAGCTAAAGATCCTCGGAACAATTCCTTATATCTAGAGGACCTCTAATTCAGGGAAAGATGTACCCCCATCAACGTTCCCTTGGCCCTTTCAGTGTTGTCTTCTAATACTTGGAGGAGATACATGGAAGCCGGGAAGAAAAGAGACCTTCGTGTGCCATTTAGTGCGTTCCCTAACCAACTGGGACATCCTCCTTTGTGTGGTGCTCCTGGCCACCTTAAATCCTCCCCCTTTAGTGGGGAATCTCAAACGTTAGCTAGAACCAGCCTTTGGGAGAAAAGAGACAGAGGGAGATCCCATCATCCTTTATTGGATTGTGGTCAAGAACTTCATCAGAAGTGCCTTCAAAAATCCGGATCAGAAGAAATGGGTAACTCAGACTGTTCCTACACACGGTTTTGGCACCTGCACTAACGAGAAGTTAAATTTGTCACGGAATATTTGTAGGAGATAACTTGGGCCAAGTTATCCCAGTCAGGAAAGATCTGTAGATGTTCCTGCAAAGAAGTTCTTTGCAGGACATCTACGATTCGTAGCCAGTCTATGATATCTTGGTTTAGTAAACAGTGTAGCAAATGCTAGACGTGAAAACTAAGCAGGAACACAGAGTCTACACCAGGGTGAGGCAACTATGATCCTTTTATCCCCAGGTCAGGAATTCTGGGAGTTGAAGTTGAATGAAAAACTCCCAAGTGTATTTCGGGAGCCATTAGTAGGCAGAAGAACATAAATTCCTTGCAGAATTAATATTCTGGATCATCTGATGAGTGCAGGTTGTTAATCAGCCCACAAAAATGGTGGTGGTGATAATTCTAGGGTTAAAATGTTTGTTTCAATGCAACAGATTAAACATTCATTGGTTTTACTTTTGGGTACACCTGTACCCTATTTCAATTCTGTTTCCTTAAACAATTCAGCCCTCGAGGTTGGTGCCACCGGTGACTAAAAGTATTCTTAGATCTAATCCTTTTCTAGAGTCACGTTCGGCTTCATTTGGGTGCTTTTCTGAGGTCAAAGGTAATTGGCATTCATTAAAAATAATATTTGGTTTAGAAGAGTTTCTGATTATGGGCTAATATTAGGCTAATATTAGAGCGGGCAACTAAATTTCATTTTTTGATGTGTGCCGTTTTGCCCACAGTAAAAAAAAAAAATGACAATAAAGGTTATCTTCTCTTATCTTATTAAAAAGGGAAAGAATTCCCTCCAGAATCAGTTTGCTTACCTGGTGAAGCATAACAATAAATAAATAATCATTCAACTTTTTCTAGCTCGGTGGCTGTCCAAGCCATCACACGAACAATAATAATAATAAAGTTGGAAGGGACCTTGGAGGTCATCTAGTCCAACCCCCCGAATGCTGCTAATTGGGGATGATGGGCACTTGTATCCAAGACCGAAAAGGGTGTCACTTTGGGAATAGCATATTTAATAGTTTTTAAGTGCCAGCCTTGTTTGGGGTTTTGGTTGAATGCACCCGAGTCCAGTAAAGGAATTTGCTTATTAAAAGTAAAAAAAAATTGCACCGTGCAGTATTTGAATATCTTATTTCCATCACTAGTGTAAAGCAAGCAGCGTGGAATGTTTTGGAGCGTGGAATTTGCACTTTAACCCATAGAATTAATATGCCAGAATTTGTATGCAAATTGCAACTACAGCAATTTATTTCATCACCTATATTGATTGCTGTTCTTCTACAGACCCCCGTGATACAACGGGAAATAACAAAGAAGAGAAGATTGATTTCCGTTCTAATATATGTCATGCATTCCTGCAGGTGACAGAAGTGTATTGCAATAATACTCTTTTTCTGCTGCTATTTTCCCAGAAAATCTGTTCATCTTTTATTTACTCAATCCCAATTCTAGGGCCTTTTTTTTGTTCTTGTTTTTTTTTTTTTTTTTTTTTAAGTGCACACTGTCCCTGGGAAGTTTTTTTTTAAGGCTGTGTCTTTCTTGTGGCTTGTTCAACAGAGGATCTATCTTTAAATGTGTTTTCTAAGGTCATTGGACTGCCCTGTTTTTCTAATTTTTTTGCAACCAATTAAAATGATGTTTGAAAAGATTCGGATGGTTCCTTAGTTTCTTCTTGGTGTGATGCAGCCTCTCGCCACACGAGGGCGCGCGTCTTAGTACCGCCTGAGGTGGTTCAGTCGAATTCGCGGAGAAAGACGCAAATGCCCCAAAGGTGAAAGTGTGTGGTTGCGTTATCTGAGACTGCGAGGGGCTTCGTGGTCTGCCTGTCCCCCACCTGGTTGTATGCCCTTGCCCTATTTGTTGGCCAGAATGCAAGAAAAGGGGGGAGTTTAAGTGGGAGGGAGGGAGGGAGGGAGGAAGGAAGGAAGAGGGAGAGGGAGGTCTGGAACAAGAGGAAGGAGAGGAAAGAAATGAAGGGAAGGAAGGAAAGAAGGAAGAGAGGGAGAAAGGAAGGAAGGATGAGGGAGGTCTGGAATTTAAGAGGAAGGAGAGGAAAGAAGGGAAGGAAGGAAAAGGAAAAAGGAGGGAGAAAGGAAGAAAGGATGAGGGAGGTCTGGAACTTAAGAGGAAGGAGAAGAAAGAAGGGAAGGAAGGAAAAGGAAAAAGGAGGGAGAAAGGAAGAAAGGATGAGGGAGGTCTGGAACTTAAGAGGAAGGAGAAGAAAGAAGGGAAGGAAGGAAAAGACGGAGGGAGGAAGGAAGGATGAGGGAGGTCTGGAATTTAAGAGGAAGAGGAAAGAAGGGAAGGAAAGGGAAGGAAGGAAAGAAGGAAGAGGGGGAGAAAGGAAGGAAGGATGAGGGAAGTCTGGAATTTAAGAGGAAGGAGAAAGAAGGGAAGGAAGGAAAAGACGGAGGGAGAAAGGAAGGAAGGATGAGGGAGGTCTGGAATTTAAGAGGAAGGAGAGGAAAGAAGGGAAGGAAAGGGAAGAGGAAGAGGAAGGGAGGGAGAAAGGAAGGAAGAATAAGGGAGGTCTGGAATTTTAAGAGGAAGGAGAGGAAAGAATGGAAGGAAAGGGAAGAGGAAGAGGAAGGGAGGGAGAAAGGAAGGAAGAATAAGGGAGGTCTGGAATTTTAAGAGGAAGGAGAGGAAAGAAGGGAAGGAAAGGGAAGAGGAAGAGGAAGGGAGAGAAAGGAAGGAAGAATAAGGGAGGTCTGGAATTTAAGAGGAAGGAGAAGAAAGAAGAGAAGGAAAGAAGGAAGAGGGAGGGAGAAAGGAAGGATGAGGGAAGTCTGGAATTTAAGAGGAAGGGAGGAAAGAAGGGAAGGAAAGGAAAAGGAAGGAAGGAAAGAAGGAAAAGGAATAGGGAGGGAGGGAGGAAGGAAGGAAGGGTGAGGGAGATCTGGAATTTAAGAGGAAGGGAGAGGAAAGATAAGGGGAGGAAGGGAAGGAAGGAGTTTGAGAGGAAGTAAGGGAGGGAAGGAAAGGAAGGGAGAGGAAGGAAAGGAGAGGGAAGGAAGGAAAGAAAAGGAACAAAGGAAGGGGAAAGAAGAAAAAAAACTAGACCAAGAAACAACTAAGCAGAGGGTATACAATGTCGTGGAAAGTACTAACTTTTGATTTTGTGACTGAAGCTACAACCTTCCTCGCCCTTAACAACCATCCCAGTATCCCCCCCCCCAGTCACACTATCAGCCTTCAGGGGTTTGGGCAACTGGCATGCAATTTTGGTAAGAGTAATTTTGGTGGTGGCGGCGGCGATGAGGGCGAGGCAATTCCCAGGATTTCACGTTTGTGATGTTGCCCAGAACTAGGCCGTAATGCTTAATTGTAGGGTTGATGAACCGTCTCAGAAATAATCCGTGCCACTCAATGTGTAACAATAAGGAGGGGAAGCGTTACACATCCTCCCAGGGTGTGAACTGCTTATCTGGAGGGAATGTGGTTCTACCAAGCTCGGTACAATCTGAACCTTTCCTGACCCTCCTTAGATTTTCTGTCCCCCCCCCCCCCCCAATCTCCAAATCTCCAAAGGGATTTTGCTAAATGGCCATCCAGGTCCTGGTTGTCCCAAAGGTGCTTTTTTTCACGAGGTAACTGGACTTTCTTTGTTTTTCTTTGAAGACGTTTCCCTTCTCATCCTAGAAGCTTCTTTGGCTCTGACTGGATGGTGGGGATTGGAAGGATTGATACTCCTTGCAGACTTTCTTTCTTTCTTTCTCTTTCTTTTTTTCTTTCTTTTCTTCCTTCCTCCCTTCCCTTTCTTTCTTTCTTTCTTTCTTTCTTTCTTTCTTTCTTTCTTTCTTTCTTTCTTTCTTTCTTTCTTTCTTTCTTTCTTTCTTTCTTTCTTTCTTTCCATCCATCTTTCTATGTTTCCTTCCTTCCTTTTCTTTCTTTCTCTGTATCTCTCTGTCTCTCTCTCTCCTATCCTTCTCCCTCTTCTTTTCCTCCCATCTTCCTCTTTCCCTTTCATCCTTCTCCCAAAGGTGCTTTTTCAAGAGGCCACTGGACTTTCTTTGTTTTTCTTTGAAGACGTTTCGCTTCTCATCCTAGAAGCTTCTTTGGCTCTGACTGGATGGTGGGATGGAAGGATTTATGCTCCTTGCAGACTTCCTTCCTTCCTTCCTTCCTTCCTTCCTTCCTTCCTTCCTTCCTTCCTTCCTTCCTTCCTTCCTTCCTTCCTTCCTTCCTTCCTTCCTTCTTTCCTTCCTTCTTCTTTCCTTCCTTCCTTTCTTCCTTTCTTTTTCTTTCTCTGTCTCTCCCTCCTATCCTTCTTCTTTTCCTCCCATCTTCCTCTTTCCCTTTCATCCTTCTCCCAAAGGTGCTTTTTCAAGAGGCCACTGGACTTTCTTTGTTTTTCTTTGAAGATGTTTCGCTTCTCCTCCAAGGGGCTTCTTCAGTTCTGACGGGATGGTGGGGAATGGAAGGAGGCAAATGACCGGCTGTCTGCAAGGAGTATAAATCCTTCCCTTCCCCACCATCCAGTCAGAGCTGAAGAAGCTTCTTGGGTGAGAAGCAAAACGTCTTCAAAGAAAAACAAGAAAGTTCAGTTGCTTTGTGAAAAAAGCATCTTAAGAAATTCCTCCCCAAAGTTCTAGGCTGCATTAACAGAAGGATAGAATCAAGATCACGTGAAGTGTTAATACCACATTACAAGGCCTTGGTAAGGCCACACTTGGAATCCAGCATCCAGTTTTGGTCACCACGATGTAGAAAAAGATGTTGAGACTCTAGAAAGAGTGCAGAGAAGAGCAACAAAGACGATTAGGGGACTGGAGGCTAAAACATAAGAGGAACAGAAGGTGAGTCTCCCATAACTTACATTTGGACAGGAACACACTGAACAGAAAGGTCCTGAAGCAATGCAACCGACTTAGAGGACCTCGCCCATCAACTGTGCTTCTGTTGTTACCACTATGTTTCTACTTTCATATTTCCATAGATTTTTCTAAGCTTCCAGTTAATTTATTTTAAGGAGCAGAGTTCTGGCTAATTGTGGAGAAGTGCAAGAAAGAACACGTGCAATTGGTTCAGAGAAAAGTTATAACAATTTGGGAAGAGATTTTGTCCTGTTGACTCTAGAGCAGAGGTGGGGAACGATGGCCCCTTTATGACTTGTGGACCTCAACTTCCAGAATTCCTGCTGGCAGTGGCTTAGTGCCGTTGTAACTTTGCATGGCGGTAAATGGAGAACTACCCATACTCATGGTTCTCTGGATCCCTCCAGGTAATCCTTCTTAGTTACTTCAAAAGATCCTTGATGAACAGGAGATAATGCGGAGGGCTAGATACCTACAATCATCTTCTCAGGGTCCTCAATACTTACACAATACTTACATAGATTCCATACATTTGGACCAGACATTCTAGATCAACAGTTTAGTAGATCCTGCATCATAAGTAGCTTTCACGTTGGCAGGAACGTGAGCCTCTGATCCAAGTGTCTTACAAATCAACCACAGCCATTCGTTGATCTTCAGGTGATCTTCAGCCAGCCAGTCATCTTCCCCAGCTAGAGAAGTGGCAGGGCAAAGAGGAGGAGGACGAGCTTTGGATGGTGGAGAAAGTGTTAGCAAGTGTTAGAAACATTTTACCAAACCTGTTTTCTGGAGGCAACCATCGATCTTCTCAGTTGTACCTCCCAAAGGGGAAGGCAAGGCGAGTCACCCACATGCATGTATATCATTGTTCACAAGCGTTCCAGTTCCTTTGGAGAAGGTAAGTCCACTGCTACATCAGGTCCTCCAAGGTTCACTTGAAGGTCTCAAGAAGGAGAACCTGTGACCATGAAGGCCTCCCTTGTCGTCCTTGATCTGCTGCTTTTGCTTAAAAATGAAGGTAAGCCCACACTGCTAGACAGGTGGATTGCCAAAGTTAGCTTCAGGCACTGATAGAGTTACCCAACTTTAGCTCTGACTTGTTCATTGACCTATATTCTATTTGGAAGCATTATGTATTGGGAGAGGTAGAACACTTCAAGGGTTCCAGTTCTATCAGTTGTTCAGTTGCGAAGTCATGTCCAACTCTTGCCAACCTCATGGACCATAGTATACTAGGTCCTCTTGTCCTCCGCTGTCTCCTGGAGTTTGCCAAACTCATGTTCATTGAGTTGAGGACACCGTCTAACCATCTCCTCCTCTGCCGTCCCTTTCTCCTTTTGCCTTCCATCTTTCCCAACCTCAGGGTCTTCTTCAAGGTTTCCCCTCTTCTCAGTTGGTGGCCAAAGTATCTGAGCTTCACTATCTGTCCTTCCAAGGCTCAGTCAGGGTTGATTTATTTTAGGGTTGATTGATAGGCTGGCCTGGTTGGTCAACAGTGAGACCCTGGTGAAGCGGGCACAGCAGCGCCTGCATTTTCTGCGCTGCATGAGAAAAGCACATCTTCCTTCCCCTGTCCTGACCAATTTCTACAAAGAGACAATCGAGAGCATCCTGTCATACAGCATCACAGTCTGGTTTGGAAGCATCCCTGCTTCAGACAGGAAGGCGGTGCAGAGAGTGGTGAGGACGGCAGAAAAGATTATTGGCAGTTCCCTCCTTTCCATCCAAGACATAGCACATAAGCATTGCTTGAGCAGGGCCCGCAAGATTGTCTGGGACACTACACATCCTCTTCACGACCTGTTTTCCTTGTTACCTTCTGGGAGGGGGCTCCGTGGTATCTGAAGCAGAACATCCAGATTCAGTCACAGTTTTGTTCCATACCATATTAACCTTGTGAATTCTAAATCTTCCTCTTTCCGCTACATATTCAAGATAGACAGTGATTAATATTTAATGTATTTATATGCAAGGGTGTAGCTATACAAATATATGTATACTGCATGTTTATATGTGTGTTATGTATGTTTACGCTTTTGAGAGTAGGCAACAGAATTTCATTTTTAATGTGTGCCAGTAAAAAATGACAATAAAGGTTATCTAATCTATCTAATTGGATCTCCGTGCAGTCCAAGTCGAAGAGGCCAAACCACATCTAGAAACTTTGGGCAAGGATATTGGCCAGATGTTGATTTCAAGTCTGAAATGCTCTTCGCTTTTCCCCCCTCCTTCCTTCTTGCCTTCTGCAGTTTTCCCGCTGACGTGCTTCGAATGCGACAACCAGCGCACCAACCTGTGGTGTCTCCGTTTCAGGGAGTGTGGCAAGGAAGAAGTATTCTGTGTGACTGCTGTGGCCTCGTATAAAATCGGTACACTACAGGCAGCTGGTTGCTTACTGGGTGGGGTGAAAATAACTTGGGCATCAGAAGGATTGTCACACTCCAAAAGTCCCTTGCAACAAAAGAGAGAGAGAGAGAGAGAGAGAGAGAGAGAGAGAGAGAGAGACAGAGACAGAGACAGAGAGAGAGACAGAGAGAGACAGACACAGACACAGACACAGACACACACAGAGAGAGACAGAGACAGAGAGAGATAGAGAGACTGAGAGGAGAGAGACAGAGAAACATGGAAAGAAACACAGAGAGAAGGGGGTGAGAGAGAGACAGAGAAACAGATGGAAAGAAACAGAGAGGGGGGGAGAGAGACAAACAGAGAGACAGAGAGACAGAGAGAATGCAACAGACAGAGAGGGAGAGAGACTGAAACACAGGGTAAGAAACATACACACAAACACAGAGGGAGAGAGACAGAGAAAAACACATACACACACAGAGGGAGAGAGGCAGAGAGAAACACAGGGAAAGAAACACACAGAGGGAGAGAGATAGAGAAACACACACATACAGAGGGAGAGAGGCAGAGAGAAACACAGGGAAACACAGAGACAGAGAGAGAGACAGAGAGAAAGCAACAGAGAGAGAAAGGGAGGGAGACAGAGAAACACAGGGAAAGAAACACACGCACGTGCACACACACACACACACACACACACACACACAGAGACAGAGAGAGAGAGAGAGAAAGAGAGCAAGAGAGCAAGAGAGAGCAAGAAAGAGTGAGAGACAGAGACAGAAACAGACAGAGACAGACAGAAAGACCCAGGTTATATGGATCCAAGGCTTTTCAGACAGAAGAAGCCCCCAAGACATTTGAGGTTCCTTCCAGCCCCAAGTTCTATTTTGAGCACCAGTAGAATAGCAGAATAAGAATTGGAAGGGATACTGGAAAACGGCTATCCTGTCAGCCCTGGTCCTTCTCTTCATAAAACTAGACACATCCAATTTCTGCCACCATTCTTCCTCCGTTTTAGCCTCCGGTTGTCTAATCATCTCCGTTGCTCTTCTTCTCTGCACTGGACCCCCCCAGTTCAGCCCTGACTTACAAATATTCTCTTCCATTGTTAAGAGGGATTTTGCTCCTTTCCATCTCACATCCCCAAGCAGCCAGGGAAATAAACCTTTCAGGAGGTTTATGGAAGGGGCACGGTGCTCTCAGTGAGTTAGAGCAGGGCTTTTCAACCAGTGGTATGGGTACCACCTGTGGTACATTGGCACCTGGCAGGGGGTACGTGACCATCCTAGAAAAGGGGTAGCAGGGGAGGGGAATGAGCTGAACTGGTGGCAGCACCACACAAGCCTGAGCGAGAGACGGCTAGAGCTGCAGGGCTGTCAGGGCTCAGTGGAAGTGCCAGGATCACCGTCAGGCTCCAGCTGGAGCTCGGCGCTGATCCTGGTGCTTCTGCTGAGCCCTGAAGAAGCACCAATCTGCTGGAGCTCAGCACTGATCCTGGCGCTTCTGTTGAGCCCAGAAGAAGCGCGATCAGCTGGAATGTTGCAGCCTCTCCAGGGTCTTGTGATTTACATTCAGATGCCTGGCAACTGATTCATATTTATGACGGTCACAGTGTCCCAGGGTCATGTGAAGTGACCAAAACCTGCTGCAACCACCCAGCAGACGGGGGGAATAAAGACCAAACACCCCCCACCCCACCCCCACTGCCAATCCTCAACAGAAATGCTCACAACAATGAAAACCTCGGACAGGAGGAAGAGCGCCGCTGGGTGGGCAGGCAGGTGTCTTGTTCGGCTGTGGCTTGGGGGGCACTTTTTTCAGTGCCACTGTAACTTCAAACAGTCACTAAGCGAACTGTTGTAAGTCGAGGACTACCTTTACTTTATCACTTTTTTCCTTTTTTTTTTTTTGGTCAAGTTTCTGACACCTTGCTAGGCGACTGGTGGTACTCGGATGTTGCCATATCCTAAAAGTGGTGCAATGGGTGGAAAGGTTGAAAAGCCCTGAGTTAGGGAGGGTGCGTATCAAACTCCTCTCTAAGAACCAGTTTTTTTCTTAGGCCTCAGTCAGGCTTAAGAAATTGTAGCTGATTCCTTGTGTAACTTTACCTGACCCATTAATTCTCAGAGATTATGCTCCAGGCTAATGTTCTTATAGTTTATCTCCACGTTGGTGCAACCAATTTGGATCATCCGGTCTTTGGGCTCAAGGAATGTGGTTCGCCTCCGGTCAGACAACCTACGTTGTGACCTGGTGACGCGTCTTTTCACAATGTTGACAGCTGTGGTCCAAAGATCCAGAGAGAGGGAAGGGGCCATGTTGATCTTCTGCCCCACCCAAGTGAAGGAACTCAGGCCAAGGTGGACAAATGGATATTCAACCTGCACAGGAGGTCCTTGGCTTACGGCCGCAGCTGAGCCCCGAATTCCCGTGAAAACGTTAAGTGAATTTCGTCCCGTTTTATGACCTTTTTTGCCACAGTTGTGAAGGGACCACAATCAAGTTAGTAGCCGGGTTGTGAAATGAATCTGGCTTCCCCATTGACCTTTTCTTGTCAAGTCACAAAAGGGGATCACGTGACCCCGGGACGCTACGACCGTCATAAATATGAGTCGGTTGACAAGTGTCTGAATTTCAATCACGTGATCATGGGGATGTTGCAATGGCCGTAAGTGTGAAAAACAGCTGTAAATCACTTTTTTTTTAATGCTCTTGTAACTTCAAACGGGTCACTCAAGCGAACCGTTGTAAGTAGAGGACTATTGGTACATAAAATTCTCCAGGGATAGGATGGCAATGGCTTCAGGAGACAGGCTGTTCCACTTCTAAGTTGCTTTCATGGGCAGGAAATTCCTCCTTATTTTGAGCTTAGATCTCTTTCTGTAAGGATAATAATAATAATAATAATAATAATAATAATAATAATAATAATAATAATAATAATAATAATAATAATAATAATAATAATAATAATAATAATAATAATAATAATAATAATAATAGTAATAATAATAATAATAATAATAAAAAAGTTGGAAGGGACCTTGGAGGTCATCTGGTCCAACCCATTGCTCAGGCAGAAAACCTATACCATTTCAGACAAATGGCCGTCCAGTCTCTTCTTAAAAACTTCCAGTGTTGGAGCATTCACCGCTTCTGGAGGCAGGTTGTTCCACTGGTTAATTGTTCTCACTGTCAGGAAGTTTCTCCTTAGTTCTAGGTTGCTTCTCTCCTTGATGAGTTTCCATCCGTTGCTTCTTGTCCTGCCTTCAGGCGCTTTGGAGAATAGCTTGACTCCCTCTTCTTTGTGGCAGCCCCTGAGATACTGGAATACTGCTATCGTGTCCCCCCTCGTCCTTCTCCTCATTAAACTAGACATCCCCAATTCCAGCAGCAATTCCTTATATGCTTTAGCCTCCAGTCCCCTAATCATCTTTGTTGCTCTTCTCTGTACTCTTTCTAGAGTATCAACATCTTTTTTACATGTTCCACATGTTGCTTCTTGTTCTGGTTATACAGAGTCCTATAGGGACTCTAGAGAATAAAGGTACACCCTTGTTCACTGGGTCTGTTCCCGTGTTGAAAGACTTATGTCTTCTCTTCTTTAAACGGATGGAAACTAATCAAGGAGAGAAGCAACCTAGAACTAAGGAGAAACTTCCTGACAGTGAGGACAATTAACCAGTGGAACAACTTGCCTCCAGAAGCTGTGAATGCTCCAACACTGGAGGCATTTAAGAAGAGACTGAACAGCCATTTGTCTGAAATGATATAGTTTCCTGCCTGAACAGTGGATTGGACTAGAAGATTTCCAAGGCAAGGTCCCTTCCAACTCTATCATTCTGTTATTCTGTAAAAGTTCAGAAGAGAAGGACGAGGAGGGACATGATACCAATGTTCCAATATTCAAGGGGCTGCCACAAAGAAGATGGGGTCAACCTATCCTCCAAAGCACCAGAAGGCAGGACAAGAAGCAACGGATGGAAACTAACCAAAGAGAGAAGCAACCTAGAACTAAGGAGGAATTTCCCGACAGTGGGAACAATTAACTAGTGGAATGGCTGGCCTCCAGAAGTTGTGGATGCTCCATCACTGGAGACTTTTAAGAAGAGGTTGTCTGAAATAGTACTTAAGCAGAGGGTCAGAGTAGAAGACCTCCACAATCCCTTCTAACTCTGTTATTCTGTTATTGTCTTCAAACTGGGTGGTGGCAAAATGGTTGGCATTGCTGTCAATGAACTCAGTCCTCAATCCTTGTAGTCATGTTGTCCAACTCTCAAGCTTTTGTACCCGCCAATGTTTCCACTCACCACACTTTCAGCTTCTTCCTTGTGTCGTTCAGGCGTGATGACCTTCAAAAAGAGAATCACCAAGAGATGCTCAGCCTATTGCCCAGATATTCAGATGGAGTTGGGCTTGGCTTCGTTTGGGACCTCCTGTTGCCAACAATCCTGGTGTAATATTTGGGGATCTCTAGGGGAGAGGAATACCACTCGGTGATGGGAATTGCCAACCGATGTCCTGACCAGATCTTCTGATGACAGAACTTGAGGAAGAGTAAGACATTACCAAAGAAAGACAGAAGCTTCTTGGCTTTCATCTCTTGGCGGAGGTCCCAGGAGAGGGACGCAGTGTGAAGAGATGGAGCTAAATCTTCTCCATTTATATAGAATGTCTCTAGAATGAGCCCCATCTCCTCATTCTGCAATTTGTGTTTTTATAAACAGGCAAATGTTATGCGATTTACCGAGTAGCGAAATCCTTTGACTTGCCACTCCAGTTTCCCATCTCTGGTACTTTGTGATGTGTCCGTGTCCAACATGGTCCACCATAGCTTCCCCACACAAAGAAGATCTGAAATTTAGGACCTCATATCAAAGACGGTCTACCATAACTTCCCCAGCTCAAAGAAGTTCTAAAATTTGGGGGTCTCACATCAAAAATGATCTATGATAGCTTCTCCTACTCATAGAAGCTCTGGGGTTTAGGGTCTCAAGATAAAAATGGTCTATCATAG